CATTTCTTTCGCAATTGGGTGGCATTGTCTTTCATTGTGAATTTGCACTTGGGAAAGGACCAGGATCGTAACAATTGGTATCGGAGCGGACTTACTTGCTGGCGAGAGGTGTTAGTCACCCTAACCCTAATTCCGAATTAGGTTAGGGCTAACCTAATCTCGGATTAGGGTTGGGAAGTTAGGGTTAAGTGGGGCAGCGAGGTATGGGGATGCTGCCCCCACCTGGTTAGGTCATGTAGGGTCGACATTGGACCCAACCAGGTTGCTTGAGTGGATGTATGGGGTGGCGGGACACAAAGGAGGCTGTTTGGAGTAAGCGAGAGGGAGTAGAGAGTGAGAGGTACTCGCACCTGGAATCTGGACTTCACGAAGACATTGAGTGACTTTTGGGCTTCCCCTCAAGAGGGAGAATTGATCGGAGGCTGCCATATCTGCATCGAATTGCTGCAAGTTGCTACTTTGGTCTTCAGGCATCGACGGGGGATCCGGCCTTGCAACAGGGGTGTAGGAAGGCCCTCTTAGTCATGCTAGGACACTTTGTGTAGTGGTAGCTAGGGGTCAGGAGGACTTATATGAGAGGGGAGTGACTCGTAATCCATCTTTGGAGGCCGGGCCTCACAGGTAAGTGCGGTGTGACCTGGGAAAGCCCGTGGGAGGTTGCTTGGTGCTTCATGGCCTGTTGGGGGTGTGCTGGGTTCTCTTCCTCTTCTCTGCGGTCTTGGTTGTGTGTGTGAGCTTGTGGATTGCTTTCTCACCTGATGGATGGATGGAAGATGTATCTACTCTAAATGACATATCTTTCTACGGTGCATTGTCTTTTCATTTCTGAATGGCTGTAGAAGTGAGTTCTTGCTGAAAGTTGTCTTTTCCTTTTCAGTACGGTAGAGGCAGTTTGGGACCGACTTGGCACCCCTATCACGTTGGTCCTGGTCCACGGCCTACTTGGGACCCCTCGGGACCCAATGGGACCAGGCCCAACGGGACAGGACCTTTTGGGCCCAGATCTGTTGCCGCCAGTGCATTTCTTTGCTGTGCTTGAATTGGGGGACATACGGACAGCAAGGGCATTCCTTTCAAGGGGATCTTGACTGGCCTTACCGCATGTTAGCACATACTGCCCCGCGTCTGACTAGGCGACCATCTGCACCCCTCGAAATCTCCATTGCTGCAGATTAGTCTTCTTCGTCTGATTTACTGTGATGTATGTCCCCTGTCAGGTTAGACAAGAGGGGATCTCCAGCTGATCTGATCGGGCCCGTTCTATAAATCAGACCTCTCTGCTGTTTCTATTTTTTATTTATTAATTTATTTTTATTTATTCTTCTGCTGCGTGTGCAAGGAAGATGAGCATTAGCGAACTCCAGCAATCAAACAGCATTGTACATAGGTGTCCAGATAGTCTTGACCTCGAACCAACAGCAGAAAAGCATCACGAGAATCACCAAATAAGAACACACCAATAGTTCGTAATTGACAATGCTGAAATAGTGTCTCATCAGCATCAACACAGAACAAGAGTTGATATCCTATTGGCGCTCGGCGCCCAGACTACATGTGGCAGATCCTATCTAGCCTATTACTACAATGCCGATGTTGACAACAACAGCTTCCCGAAGTATGAGCATACTGCAGCCTATGCCGCACGCTTCCAGCACCAGGTAGGTCTCTCGCCACACTCACAACCCCGATCCACACCGCACAGATGCCACTAGCACCCAAGGACCATCGTGCGTCACACCCAGCTCTCAGCGGAGCAGCTCGGCTATGGCTGCCCGCTGCTTCCAGCTCGCCCGTSAGAGCGTGAGTGYCAGCCAGCCAGCAAATASCGCAGCAGCGCTCGGGCAGCATGCAGCCAGCACCCGAATGCCGAATGAGGAGGCAGGCCCTTCCCTATATCGAAGTGGCCWGCCTGCGTCCARTCCAGGAAGCTTCCAGTAGGSCCCGGTAGCCTGAGGCCCAGTCACGAAGAGAGCAGGCCTTGGGCCTGGAGYAGTTGCATGCGCCCAACTGCTTTCGGCCTTTGTTTGGCCCAGTACCCGTATCCAGCCCAGGGCCTGCTTCACATACATTTACACAGGCGGCCCAGGGCCTRGATTCATTCAACCAACTGGCGCAGYGCAACTGTCTGAATTTTCCCCATTACGGGGTACCCTGAAAACGAGGCTTGAAGGGCCTGTCGTGCCTGCCTTCACTTAGGACGGCCAACCTTACTGCAAATAGGGCCCCNTTTCCCCATTACGGGGTACCCTGAAAACGAGGCTTGAAGGGCCTGTCGTGCCTGCCTTCACTTAGGACGGCCAACCTTACTGCAAATAGGGCCCCGTAGGGGGCTGAGCGGGCGTAGCCTCGCATTCCCTCCTCCATATCTTCGTTAGTCCTCTGAGAAGATTAATCTGCAGCCATCTGGCGCTTGCCTTTCAATACATCTCTCTCGTAGCGGGCAACGATTTGAGGAGCGGTCTGCATTGATTCCTCCCGAGTAAACCAGCGGTCCTCCTTCGGATCAGTATGATGTCTGAAGTGTCCACGGAACTGCAGCTTTGGCTTTGGAGGACGTCCCCTTCCCGGAGGCTTCTGAACAGGCATCTCCCTGTAGTCGACGATATCATCAATGTTGACTTCTCCGTCCATGGTTGGGGGCAGCATTGACCGATGAGAGGGAAACTGATCAGTTTCCTCGAACGCAGCGAGCTTAGAGGCGTGAAAGACTGGGTAAGTTCTTAGGTGACCAGGGATACGGATGACATAAGATGGACCATCAGGATTTGTCCCTACTACGTCTAAAACTTCCCAAGGACCAAAGTACTGAGGCATGAGTTTGCGGGTCCTGTCCCAGTTCTGAAGACTTGACCCAGACTCTGTCCCCAACCTGAAATGTAGAAGGGCGGCGGTGTTTATTCTCAGATTCTATCATTGCTGCCTGCGCCTTCTGCATGTGCTCTACAGCCTCCTGCATTCTCTGTTCGTAACGATAAGCGAATTCCAAAGTGCCTGGTGCAACAGTTGGCTGGTTATCAGGAAGTAGGAAGTCTAAAGGCAGTCTAGGCCTAAAGGTAAGATGTAGACTGTTAGGACTCACCCCGGTAGCGCTGTGTACAGCGTTATTGTACAGACTGGCGACAAGAGCAAGCTTCTCGTCCCAGTTCACCTGATTGGGCTTAATATAATGCCTCAACAGGTGTTGAACAGCGCGGTTCATCTGCTCCGCCTGGCCGTTTGCTTCTAGATGGTTTCCAGAAGTCATTTGCAGTTGAGTTCCCTGTTCAGCTGCAGCGGCCTTCCATAACTCACTTGTAAACCTGACATCCCTGTCACTTACAATAGACTTAGGCAATCCAAAATCTCTCACCCAGTTCTCTTTGAACAACTTAATCACGTACTCAGTCTTTGCTGTCTCAGGCATTGCTACTAACCTAGCAAACTTACTAAACCTATCCACGATGACAAAGATCTGTCTCATCCCACTCTTGCTGGTGACCAGGGTATCCATGAAGTCCATGAATAAGCTTTCACCCGGCCTTTCCGGAATCGGAAGGGGCTTGAGCAGCCCAAGAGGAGTCTGAGTACGGGGCTTGTCTCGTTGGCAAACTTGACAAGTTTCCACGTACAACTTAGCATCTTTTAACATCGTGGGCCACCAGAACCTTTGCAGCAAATTGGCTGCGGTCTTCTTGTACCCAAAATGGTCGGTGGCGTCATGACACTCGCCTAAAAATAAACTACGCAAAGACTCTTTATCGGGGACACACAAACGTTTATTCCCTTCCTTCTCGAGGAACAGCAAGCCATTGACCAACTCAAACTCGGCTGAAGTTTGTTTATCCTTCGCCTTGAGTCTGCGTATGATCTCAGACATAAATTGGTCTTCTCGATAGGCTTCCACCAAGGATCGAGTGACATCATCCGTAAGATCGTACTCAGTAATCAGCGCACCTGAGAAATCCGATCGAAGCGACAAGGCATCAACATCCTTGTTGTACTCCCCCTTCAGATACTGGGGGTCAAAGTCATATTGCTCAATGACTTCAATCCAACGCTTGAGGGCGTCAGAGAGTACAGGCTGAGTTCTCATCCATCTAAGAGTCTGATGATCAGTCCTGAGAATGAAGAACCTCCCAAGGAGATAGTGTCTCCAATGGGTCAGAGCCTTGTAAACAGCATAGAGTTCCTTCTCATAGGTGGACTTTGCCAACTTTTGAGACGGCATTTTCTTGGACATGTACTCTACAGGCCTCAACTTTTACCCCTCCTGTTGTGCAAGCACGGCGCCAATGCCGTATTGGCTAGCGTCCGTGGTGACTATGAATGGCTTGTCAGGATCAGGAAGCTTCAAGACCTCGTAGTGCGTCAAAGCATGCTTCAGATGTCTGAAAGCAGCCTCGCACTTATTTGTCCACTCCCACGGGGTGTCAAGGCGAGTCAGATCAGTCAAAGGAGCGGTCACTATGCTATAGTTCTTAACGAAAGTCCTATAGTAACCTGTCATTCCTAAGAAAGATCTCATCTCAGTCACAGACTGAGGTCGTGGCCAATCACGAATGCTGGCCACCTTCGCGTCATCGGGCTTCAACCCTTCCGCGGAGATCTCATGACCCAAATACAAGATACGGGTGCGACCAAACTCGCACTTCTCACCGTTGATCTTGAACTTGTGCTGTCGCAGGAGACTGAGAACTTTGTCCAAGTGTGCAACGTGCTCCTCAACAATCTTACTAAAAATAAGTATGTCATCGAGGTACACGACGATAAACTTATCCAAGTAGTCATGGAATATCCGATTCATAGCGTGCTGAAAGGTGCCAGGAGCATTGCAAAGGCCAAAAGGCATCACCACAAACTCATACAGACCGTACCTGGTCTGAAATGCGGTTTTGTGTTGATCCTCGGGCCGTATTGCAATCTGATGGTACCCGGACTTCAGATCTATTTTACTGAAGTACCGACACCCTTGCACTCTATCTAACAGATCATCGATGCGCGGTAGGGGCTCTCTGCTCTTCACMGTGATGGCATTGAGGCCCCTATAGTCAATGCACATCTTGAGAGTGCCCTCCTTCTTCTTAGGTACGAATAGTACTGGAGATCGGTAAGGAGAGACACTCGGCCGGATCCAACCCTTCTCTATGAGTTCCTTGAGTTGGCGGCGAAGCTCATCAAACTCGCCCGGAGACATCCGATAGATCCTACCTTTCGGAATACTAGACCCTGGGATAATCTCTATCGCGTGGACGACCTCCCTCTCAACAACCCCTGTAGGTTCCTCAAATAAATCAGGGTACTTGGCAACTACTCCCTCTATCTCTGGCGGCATTTTTACCGGCTCGCCTGCAGCAGAGACGTAAACTAGATACATACCCTCCTCCTGATTTTGCTTATAATAATTGTAGAACGCGGCCGCACACAAGCATCCGTGGGAATCGATCAGACTACTAGCCTTAAACTTGTGTAATCTGGCGGTTCCCCCATTTGGCAAAGTGTGTTTGACCACCTTTCGGTCCCAGTCAAACTGGGGTTGTGCCACGGAGAGGTAGTACATACCCAATAGCATGTCCATGGGGAGYTCGTCGCTAACCAGGAATGAGACATGATGCCTCARTTCCCCTCCCGCGTACGGGAAAAGACACTCTATGTCTTTTAGGTAGTCATGGACTACCATGCGCTGTTTGTTGGCGCAGGTCGACTCCACAGGTCGACTCAGGCGCTGCACTTGCCCCTGTAAGCGCAGCCTCTCAACGCACGCGCGGCTAATAAAGTTCCTAGTCGAGCAAGTGTCGTAATAGGCCCCGGCCTTGTGGCCTCCTATGACTACCTCGCTGACAAACATTTCACTCCTAGGGGCTTTGACTAACGCCGTCCAAGAAGCTAGTGGGTCTGATCTAGACCACTCATCCTCCAGCTCCTCTAAGGATTCAACCACATTCATCGAACAGAGGGTCGATGGGTCTGAATGTGCTTGCGGGACGACTGAAGAGTCGGTAGCTTGGGCCATCTCTAGCGTAGGTGAGGGTGTATCCACCACCGCGACCCTAGTAGGAACAGCTACTATTCCTACTGGCCCGACATGTTTCCCGAAGCCGTGCCAGAAGTGCTAGCAACGTTGTTTCCAACGGGAGTAGAGGATCCTCCTGCCGACCCCATAGTAGGCGGGATCTTCTCGGTGACCTTCCTGTTGCGGCACTTGTACATGCTATGACCATATTGGCCACACTTAATACAGGCTTGCCGTGCCCACCGATCTCTCCACACGTCCTCTGATAGACCCGCTTTCTCCCATGGAGGAGCATTGGGGTCTGTTTGACTCTTCGATCGGGATCCCCTAGCCTTCCACTTGGGAGGCAGTGTCGTGGGTGTGCCCTATCTTTGCTTCAAGGTCTAGGGCTCCATGCCCTATCTTTGCTTTAAGGTCTAGGGCTACCTTGCTGAATGAAGGAAAGTTGTGCATATTGATGTTGGCCTCTTTCGCCTCTCTTGTCCCCTGTAAAAGGTTTGGGAGAGGCGATGGCCGTCTTTGGAACCCATTGCGTTTGTCCCGGTCCCTGCACCACCTCGGGATGTGGACCCGGTGATGCAGGTTGCTGTGCTAGCTGCTAGGGCTGTGTGCCCTGTGGCTGCACAGGTTGCGAGACAGCAGGCTGCGTGGTGACCGCAACCTGTAACGGACTTGGAGTGAACACTGTCTGTACAGGAACCTGTAAACTACTCCCTGTTGTTACCCCTCCTAACAGCGGCATGCCCAGGGAAACAATTGCAACCGTTGACGGGGCTACATATGGGGATACCCCGGTCACCGGTGGGACAGAAAAAGGAGGATATGGCACGGGCCAGGCACCAGGCCCGGCTGGTGATGGTGCTGCCTGAGCACGGCCTGCTAACACAGCTAGGCTTTGTTGAATGTCCTGAAGGATGGTAGTTTGGTGCTCCTGCAGCTCAATTACGCCTAGCAGGGCCCTTCTTACTACCTTCACATCATCATCCATATGCGTCAGGTCCATCATCTCTAACTCCTCTATGTCTGCCCCTCTCTGTCGCATCCTGGTTCTTCTTCTAATCATCATCTCCTTCTCCCTTTTTATCTGTCCTAATGCCTGTTGTAGTTGTGCCTCCTGCAGGGCTGCCTGCTGGATGGCGACATCCTCTGGGGTCAACACCGCGGGCTGGCTCATCATTAAGCCAGTGGACTGACTCACGGTCTGTGCGACCGTGGACCCGGCGGTACCTGAACTACCGGCTTGGAAAGTCTGCTGCGCAGACGTGCTCATGGTTGTGGTAGCCATGGCTGCTGTTGCACCAGCCTCGCCGATTAAGGTTCTGCTGGCCTCGGCTGCTCTAGCTCTCCTCTGCTGCTGCTGCCTCTCCCTTTGCCGGCGGAACAGTTCCCTATCACCCACCGGTCCTAAGGACACGTGAGTTATCGGGCCTCTAGCTGATCGCAAGATCCTGCGGTCGTCCTCTACGGTGTCCCCTGTGTCGCTCATGGACTACAACACTGTGCAAAGTCTACACTAGATCATTCTAGATGCCTACCGCAGCATAGTGCACAGACCAACTATTTAGTGGTGGCTATTTTTTGGAACAGATCTCATTTGGGGTCAACAGGTAAGTCAGATTCCTACTGTCAATACTATTTTTAGTAAGATTAGTTCTCGAACAGAGGAAGCATTAGGAATAAACAATATTCTAAACTAATGTTGTCTGTTAGATGTTACATGTCTGTCCATCTAACTAATCAAAATAAAAACAATGTTGACTGACTGGGTCTGTTCACAGCATGGAATTTAAACCCGAACTTATCACCTAGAATCTACCCCTCCCTTTGTTCTTCTCAATGTCACGGTGTCACGTCCCTAAGCATCTGAAGCCAAGCGTGTCTGAAGGTGTGCAATCCGGTCCCACCCCTGTGCCCCAGGTTATCATCGAGCAAGGCAGCCACAACACTCTTATTTATCCTCGTACGCCGACGAGCCTTCCACTCGGTTGATCTGGCTGATCAAGAGGCAATTCAACGTCCGCCCCCAAGTGACTCCAGGAATTATTTTACGTCGCAGCCGGACGACGATCACAGCCAGATCAGAGTCGAGTCCCCAACCAGAAATGTTTATAGACGGTCTGGTATGCGTCTTAAGAGGCTGCCGTACTCGAGTTAACCCCTATCTTGCGCAAGCAGCAGAACCAACGACTTGCAGCGAAGCATGCGTGTACTAGTCCCAGCGGGTTGGCATGGTGACCGTGACCCGAGTGCTTCGTCCGTCTTCCCCCAAATACTCCACGTGAACAATCACGACTCTCAAGGTTGAGCGCACACGACACCTCACAATGAGAGGACTCTCAAGACAGAACTCACAACCTCACGGTAAAAAGTGATGAAGAAGGTAGATAAGGTTAAGAGCAACGTACCTCGTTCAAGCAGCCCCCAACCATAGAGATAATCTCACCAGATGATTTGAAGATGATTGCGATGACCAGTCACAACATCGGCACAACCAGCATTGTCTCGCCGTTCCACCTCAGCCTCAATCACCCAACAGATAGTTCTCATCACACTGCGAACACCCAATATTTACACGTAGCCTTCCAGGCGATGCCCCTCAACACCCGGGTCGCCAATACTTGTCACTTCCCCTCCTCACTACACACCAATCACAGCCCACTCACGTAGCAGACCGCACGTATGTACCGCATAAGGAAAGAGACAAGCGCCAGATGAGCGCACCGTACCACAACTCCGATACCAAATTGCAAGGAAGATGAGCATTAGCGAACTCCAGCAATCAAACAGCATTGTACATAGGTGTCCAGATAGGCTTGACCTCGAACCAACAGCAGAAAAGCATCACGAGAATCACCAAATAAGAACACACCAATAGTTCGTAATTGACAATGCTGAAATAGTCTCTCATCAGCATCAACAAAGAACAAGAGTTGATATCCTATTGGCGCTCAGCGCCCAGACTACATGTGGCAGATCCTATCTAGCCTATTACTACAATGCCAATGTTGACAACAACAGCTTCCCGAAGTACGAGCATACAGCGGCCTATGCCGCACGCTTCCAGCACCAGGTAGGTCTCTCGCCACACTCACAACCCCGATCCACACCGCACAGATGCCACTAGCACCCAAGGACCATCGTGCGTCACACCCAGCTCTCAGCGGAGCAGCTCGGCTATGGCTGCCYGCTGCTTCCAGCTCGCCCGTSAGAGCGTGAGTGYCAGCCAGCCAGCAAATASCGCAGCAGCGCTCGGGCAGCATGCAGCCAGCACCCGAATGCCGAATGAGGAGGCAGGCCCTTCCCTATATCGAAGTGGCCWGCCTGCGTCCARTCCAGGAAGCTTCCAGTAGGSCCCGGTAGCCTGAGGCCCAGTCACGAAGAGAGCAGGCCTTGGGCCTGGAGYAGTTGCATGCGCCCAACTGCTTTCGGCCTTTGTTTGGCCCAGTACCCGTATCCAGCCCAGGGCCTGCTTCACATACATTTACACAGGCGGCCCAGGGCCTRGATTCATTCAACCAACTGGCGCAGTGCAACTGTCTGAATTTTCCCCATTACGGGGTACCCTGAAAACGAGGCTTGAAGGGCCTGTCGTGCCTGCCTTCACTTAGGACGGCCAACCTTACTGCAAATAGGGCCCCATAGGGGGCTGAGCGGGCGTAGCCTCGCACGTGCCACACTCTAAGTCCAAATGATTCGCCGCTCCGGCCAGGAGTTCTACCTTCTTCTCTGAGTGGTTTTCAGTTCATTTCTTTCATCTGAACTATCTATGTCCAGTATTGAGACGCGTGCACAGACAGCGAAGAGAGAAGAAAGGGAGAGAGAAGGTGTTCTGTTTGAGAGTGTGAGGAAGGGCAAGAGGAGTGTTCGTCTAAACGTAAGGAGAGAGCGGACCCCTCTTGAGAGTTCTACTGACGGCCCTCCCTCCAGCAGGGCGGTCATCACATCTGCCCAATGGCAGGCCATGTTGGACGCAGCAGACGAGAGCCAGAAACCATTCTTTCAAAAACTGTATGATGATGTTGTGCAGAGGGAAAGGGAGGCGGCGGCAGCAGCTAGAGCCGCCGACATTGCTGATCAGGTGGCTCTCCTTCGGATCCCGGAAGCCAATGCTGACCGGTTCCAGGAGGAACTAGCTGCTGCTGTAGCAGCCTTGGTCCCACTACGGACCTTGGAAAACCTTGAGTCTCGTATGACAGCACTTGAGCAGCAGAACGAAGAGCTGCAGGCTAAGGTAATTAGCCTCGAACAGTCCCAACTGTCTGCCTCCCGCCCTCCTAACCCTCGATCTGCTATAATCCCAACCTCTCAAGCCAACACAGCCCTCGTGCCAAGGGCAAGTGGAATCGTGGCAAGCGCAGGAACCGGCGCCAGCTCCTCGAGCGGCAGCACCGACAGTTTTGCGCTGGTCATGGTCCCGAATGCAGGGACATCAACCCAAAACGCCGCAGTTCCTACTGGTGTTCAGTACAGCGGTCCCATGGTGGACAAGCGGGCGGCCATGCTGCCGTCCAAGTACGACGGGAAGGCAAACATCACCTCTTGGATTAGTTCCATGAGGTTGTACTTCGAGGTCATGCGGACATCGCAAGAGGACCGAAGTATGATCGTGGGGACTAATACTGCGCCCGCCGTATGAAACCACATTGAGCTCCAAGCTGTCGCAGCAGGCTATGAACGCATAGACCTGACTGATTGGTTGAAGGTCACCCCTGTCCGCGCCCTTGAGGATCTTCTCCTTGACCGGTACCGAGATAAACATGCTGTGCTCAAGGCTAGGCTGAAGCTTGAGGCCCTCAAGGGCCAAACATGGAGGTCATCCATGCAAGCTTTGGAACAACACTTGACTGATCTGTTCACCACTCCGGATTTGGGAATGACTGATGTATATTGTATGGATGTAGTCATGGGAGTGGCCCCTAAAGAATACCTCTCCCTGCTAGCACTCAAGGACCATGCCACCTAGCGAGAGCTCATGAAGGACCTAGTCGACCTAGAGGCCAAGGACCTCGCCAGGCGCAAGAAGGCGCCCGCTGCAGGTGGGAAACCACAACGCAAGCGGTTTGGAAGCAGCAACCAGCTTGCACTGCATGATCATCAGGAAGCTAACGATCAGTCCTATGCGGATGATCTGTCTCTAGATGACGATCTAGAGCCGGACTCCGATACGGGCTGTTCCACATCAGCCATTGAGTGTGACAAAAATGATGATGAGAAACTTAATGCGTTCTGAAAGACTGCTTCAAATAAGGGGCCTAAACGTGGTTCAGGTAAGGGAACTGTCTTACACCTTCCCAAAAATGCTAAGATCCCTGAGAAACCGGAGGACGCTTCCACCAAGCCTTGGGAAGCTCTCCGCATCACTCAAAAGGAATTGGAAAGAAGATCCAAACTGCACGTATGCTTGCATTGTCAAAAGCCTGGGCATGCTGTGCAGGATTGCTATCGTCTTCAGGGAAACAGGCAAGGGGCGTAGAAGAGTCATCAACACTCTCTACAACAAGGGAAGCTGAGCAGTCAATTGCAGGCCCTTCCGAGGAGCCTGGATCTGGCCAGCAGCTTGCTCTTGAAGCCCGAACTAGTGCTCATTCCAAGGCTGGTGCAGTCCAAGTGTTATACACTGAKCCTTGGGAGGAGCCTAAAGAAGTTGACTTCCACGCCCACATGGAGCATTGGCTGCAGCTCAAGCAACAACGCCGTGTTCAAGGGAGCGTGGAGCCGACTTTCTTTAAACTACTCATTAACCSCCGATACATCCGTGTGCTGATTGACAGTGGGTCAACCACTAATTTCTTCTCTCCGAACGGGATTCGTAAGGCGGACCTGGGTATGAAGCAAGTGAAACTGCAGAACCCTTGTCGGACTCAGGTGGGCAACCAAGAGGTTGTCACTTCCACTCATGCTGTCAAAGGTGTGCGCATTACCTTTGACAAAGACCGCACTGTCACACATGAGCTGAATTTCTATGTCCTGGATAAGTGTCCTTTCGACGCGGTCATTGGCTTGGGTTGGCTAAAGGCTCATTGTCTAAGGACCACGTGGGCGGACAATCAATTCGTGGTACTTGATGCCAAGGGGAACGAGCGTACCATCTTATTAGATGAGACGCGCGAGTCCCCTGTGACTCTTCTAAGTGCTAACAAATTCTGCAGGTCAGTGCGCAGGCGCAAGGAAGCTGAGTTTGTACATATAGCCCTTGTAAAACCACTCCATGTGCCTTCTACTTTTGCTGCATTTTCTACCTCGGTAAGTAACTCAACTTCTAATCCATCTACTTCTACTGTGAATAATCCTTCTACTTCTAATCCGGTTGTAATTGCTGTAAATTCTCAGTCTAATTTTCTTTCTCCTGATGAGGATGATCCTCCACCGGAAGTCCCAACAAACATTCGCCAACTATTGGATCGATTCCCTGAAGTTGTGGCCGAACCTCGTGGAGTTCCCGAGCGTCCGGTCAAACACAAAATCGAGATAATAGAGGGGAGTGTTCCTCCAAAGGGTTGCGTCTATGGTATGGGACAAAGCGAGTTGGAGGAGTTGATACGACAGATTGATGATATGATTGACCGTGGATGGATTAGGCCCGGTGAGTATGAATTTGGTGCACCTGTCTTGTTTGTGCCAAAGAAAGGAGGCAAACTCCGGATGTGTATTGACTATCGTGGCCTCAATCGGATCACCAGAAAGAATGCTTACCCTTTGCCTCGCATAGATGATCTGCTAGATGCGCAGGTGGATGCAAGGTCTTCTCCAAGATCGACCTCAAATCTGGTTACCACCAGATTGAAGTTGATCCGAGTGATCAGCACAAGACTGCATTCAAGACACGCGATGGGATGTACGAGTTCATCGTTATGCCCTTCGATCTTATGAATGCACTGGCCACCTTTCAGTGCCTCATGGAAAAGGTATTTCGCCATCAACTCAACAGGTTTGTGGTTGTGTACCTTGATGATATCTTGATCTTCAGCAAAACCATGGAGGAGCACCTCAAGCACCTTGAGGAAGTTTTGCAGGTTCTCAAGGAGGCGCAGCTGCACCTCAACTTGGAGAAATCTGAGTTTGGGAGGGACAGCGTCATCTATCTTGGGCATCGGTTATCTGCAAACGGCCTTGAGCCGGAGGCAACCAAGGTTGAGGTCATCCGAAATTGGCCTCAACCGGCAAACGTACGCGAACTGCGTTCTTTCCTTGGTCTGGCCTCATATTACTAGAAGTTTGTGCCCAAATTCTCTGTCATTGCTCACCCTCTCTCAAGACTAACCAGCAAGAATGTTGCCTATGCATGGTGTGAGAAGTGTGAGACTGCGTTCCAAGCCTTGAAAGAGGTATTGGTGAGTCATCCTGTGCTTCGCATTGCCGATCCCAACCTCACTTTCGTAGTCACTACGGATGCGAGCCAGTTCAGGATTGGTGTTGTGCTGCAGCAAGATGATGGTGATGGCCTGCGTCCGCTCGAGTATTACAGCAAACGCATGCCTAGCCATAAGGTAGCTACTTCCACATATATGCGTGAGCTTTACGCCCTGCGCGAAGCCCTCGCACATTGGAAACATTACCTCTTGGGTCGCCACTTCACGGTCTACTCTGATCATCTGATCATCAGACCTTGTAGTGGATTCAGACACAATCTGAACTCTCTCCTACATTGACCCGCTGGTTGCATGACATTGATGTCTACAGCTTCGAGTTGAAACATAAGAAAGGTTGTTATAACCGGGTTGCTGATGCGTTGTCCCGCCATCCTGAATTCTTGACTTGCCTTGTGGGTTCATACGACCTCCGAAGGAAACAAAAGGATGATCTGGTTGAACACACCGCCAAGGATCCGGACCTCAGTCCCATCCTTGAGCAGCTCAAGGTTGACCCTAACAGTCAGCCTGATTTTCATGAATGCGAGGATCTTGTATTCCGCCGGTATGGGAAGTTTGACCGTTTGTGTGTACCCAACCACGCGCCTCTCCGAACTCATTTCTTGGATTTGGCACATGGTCGGAGTGGACATTTTGGCTTTGAGAAGACTTATGCAAGTCTTCTGCAGCAATTTGATTGGCCGGGAATGAAAGGATCTTCTCAGAGATTCATTGTTGAATGTCAAGTATGCCAAAGAATCAAGGTCCACAGGCATAAGCCTTATGGCCTACTGAAACCTCTCCCCATTCCTGATGGACCCGGTGAATCGATTTCCATCGACTTCACGGACATGGGAAAGGTGAGTGAGGCTGGGAATTCACAAGTCATGGTCATTGTGGACCGCTTCTCCAAATTTTTGAACTTGATTCCTCTCCCTCCTCACGCCCCGACTGAACTTGTCATAGAAGAATTCCATCAGCAGTACATTTTGCAGTCCAGCGTCCCGAAAACTATTGTGAGTGATCGGGACACCAGATTCATCAGCAAAGATTGGAAAGAATTCACATCTCAGATCTACGACATCAAACTGAACAGGACTTCTGGTTGACACCCCGAAGCCAACGGATTGGCTGAGGAGATCAACCAGACTGTCATCCAATTGCTTCGCGCACTAATTGCTCCAGATCCAGAACACGTGGGACAAGGAATTGCACAAAGTGAAGGGGTTGTACAACAACTCCATTCACTCTGTGACTAGTGTGACACCAAACCAATTGCAGTATGGATGGCCGATGCGTAATCCCCTCTCCTATCTGTTCCCCGAACGGTCACCTGGTCTGATGCCCAGCATGTCTGGCTACAATGCCAAGTACGCACGCTTGCTCAAAGCTGCTATAGCAGCTATGAACAATCGCCAGCATGCCATGATCAAACATGCCAATAAGCTGCGCAAAGAAGAAAAATTCAAAGTAGGGGATTATGTTTGGGTCAAAATGTCCGAGTTTTCTGATGAAGAGGGCATATCACGGAAGCTTCTTCCACAGTACTACGGCCCTTGGCAGATTCTGAAGGTAGTCGGGGAAGACTTTGGCCCTTCATTTGTGATTGACGTGCCTCCTCATCTGCGCACGTATCCGGTCTTTAATGCGTCCAAACTATTCCCACACATTGATGAGGAGACCTTTCCTTTCCGGGACCCGATGATACCTCGCCCTATCGACGACGGCCATGAGATAGACAAAATCGTATCTCACGAGGGCGGAGGGAGGAATAGACAGTATAAGGTTCACTTCCTCTATCACCCGTTGACTGAATTCTTCTGGACCGACCGGAAAGAGCTGCTAAAAACTGCTCCCCGTGTTGTGAACGCTTACGAAAGACAGATCACCGAGGGACAGACCGCTAAGTTCGTAGCAACAATGACTCCTCATGGATTGACCAACTCTCTTTTTCTGATGTACTCCTACGATGCGTTCTGTACCGACTCTGACTGAGTTGCTCGCTCGAAGGGACCTCGCTCTCGAGAGGGGAGTAATGTAATGACCCGCCAAAAACACAGACTGAGAACACTGCTGATTTCTGGGATTTGTCACTGGAATGAATGCCTTGCTGTGATTCCCGCATTCTGCTGTGGTCCCAAGTCTGTGTGTATGCGTGCCTGCTGGTTTGCATGCCTGTCTGAGTGCTTGYCGGTTGTGTGTGTGTGCGTGCCTGCTGGTTTGCATGTTTGTCTGAGTGCTTGCTGGTTGGGTACGAGGGGTGACCCGCAAGGGTACTTGTTGGTTGCAAGGCCCACCGGGCCGGTACTTACCTGTGGCCGTGACTTTGAAGGGTTGCAGGGGGGTAAACACGCCGGTAGCGGGAAGTAGGCCCACGACACTTAGAGCAGCTGGGGAAAAACACTCAAGTAGCAGGTAGGCCGAGCACAAGAAGACAAAAAGTTGGCATTTTTAGAGGCCCAGTAGCGGTAGGATAGAGGTAGGCCGGTACCAGTCCAAGTAGCCCGGGTCTAGGGCCTGTGCGGACAATAACAGAGCCTGCAATGATGTTTCCCTCCAAAAGGGAGGAGGTACCSGTTGCTGGGAGGCCGCTTGGCCTAGGAAGTCACCGCCCAGGAGGCCGGTAGGCCGCTATATCTTCAGGAAGAGCGGAGAGCTCTTCCTCATTTTGCGGTATGCAAGGATTGGCGACATGCTGCTGGAGCGCAGTCGCTGGACTGAAGCAGCGCTGCTTGGAGGTGAAGATCCGCTGGGGCTCAGCCTGGCTATGGCGAGCACCCCAGCTTGAGGAGGAGGAAGAAGGGGGCATGGTAGGAGAGTGGTAGGGCACTTACCTGGCTATGGTGGACACCATCTTCATCACCTTGTTGGGCGCTRCATCTGGAAGGCCCCAGTTGGGGTAGCGCTGCACCAGAGCAGCTCAAGGGAGAGTCAGGCATAGCGGACCAAGTCAAGCAGCGGCATAGCTGCTTTGGGTTGTCTTGGGACATCAGCGCAGCATCATAGCTGCCTCCCAGTAGTCCGCCATGGCCTATGCATGAGAGAGGAGGATGAAGGAGGGAAGCCATGGCCATGGTGGACTTTGTTGTTGTTGTTGTTGTTGTTGTGAGTTGAGTCAGCAGTAAGAGGGAACTTCGGACATTGATTCTGGTTCATCCATTCATTGTTATTATTATTATTGAGAGAAGRATAAGATTGGTGAAGAGAASGAGGAAGGAGGAAGGTGGAGAGAGAAGGGGGAATTGTCATTGGTCTTGCTGGTGTACTTCTTCTTCTTCTTCTTCTTCTTCTTCTTTACCTCTCCTCTGGTCTTTATCTCTTTGCAAGTGCTTTCATTTCTTTCGCAATTGGGTGGCATTGTCTTTCATAGTGAATTTGCACTTGGGAAAGGACCAGGATCGTAACATATATATATATATATGCAATGACTTGCTGTTTTCTGGTCGCCTGTAGCCTCTCTTTGTCAAGGTTGTACTATAGGTAGGACAGATTCGTAATTTTGTTTGGCTGAGGGCTAACCAAGGTACCTGTGAGGGAAATTCGTGAGGGACATATCTGCAAATCCGGGAAAATACAGGCCCGGTACCAACCGGATTCCCTACAACTACCCTAACTGCAAACTGCAGGCCCGGGCTACCCTAGGACAGACAGGCCCTAAGGGCCTATTCTGATAGACGGTCCTATAGCCTATAGCCGGGTCCGGTAGAGGCCGAGAGGCCGAAACTGAAACGGTACCGGTCGGTCAGTCAGTCCGGTCTAGGTCGAGTCTAGGCTAGTTGTAGTCTATAGATAGATCGGGCACATGGGTTCAGGGCCTTCGGTGGCGCTGCTGCAGACTTCCATCCGGGAAGTCTTCCGACACTTCGTCATCATCAGATACTGTGGCGCTGGTCTTCTTTTTCATCCTTTGAGTGGCGCTTGGCCTAAGAGTCTATACACATTCTCAACTCTCCTTCCTTCTCGGGGACAAACAAAACGGGTGCTCCAAAAGGAGACGAACTGGGCCTGATCCAACCTTTCTCAAGGAGCTCGTCTAACTGTTTGCGAAGCTCCTCTAACTCTCTAGGGGACATCCTGTAGACTGCACCCTTAGGAGTTCTACTGCCAGGCTCTATCTCTATCCTGTGCTGGATGGGTCGCGACACTACTCCTCTTGGCGACTCAGTCAAGTCTTTGAATTCTTCCAGCAGCTTGGCAATTGTTGGATTTGTGAAACTATCCTTTTCCTGGGCCTCCGTGACAGGTCTAACATAAACTACAAAGGCCTGTTCCTCTAACTGCTCCTTTTTTACTAATCGCGCGAACGTGGGAGCACTGAGACAGCAATGTGCCAAGGTATTGTCTACACCAGACACATGGAACAAGCGGGCAGTCTTAGCCTCGCCTGACGGACTAGGGAGCCTACACTCATGCTCTCTCAACTGGAGTGTGGCCCCTGCTGCCTCTCCCCAATGGAGAACTTTTTCCACCTTCCCATCCTTCTCTAGGCGAAAGTACGCCTGGACTCCCTCTACGTAGTCCTCAACGCGCATCGTGCAGTTGTCTGCGAGGACACTGACTATGGGGTCTACTAGCTTTTGGACCTTCAGTCCTAGCCTCAGCTTCTTCAGCGCCCTACGGCTAATGTAACTACGGGTAGCTCCTGAAACTATAAGGGCCCCTACCGTACTCCTAAACACCTCTACATCTACCAAAATCAGTTGTCCTTTACTCTCCTTCTTCATTTTGGCCCAGGCTGGCATC